TGACCTCAATCCCTCCTATTCTTCCAATATCCTGATGAAAAATAAAATCTCTCTGTTGCATAGGCCACTGTTTGATCAACGCGAATTGGGTGTGGGTCCTTGTACTCCGAGTCGGGCTAACGTCCACGCTAGCTTCCACGCTGGCTGCTATAGGTTTTGCATTGAGGTGATACTTGAGGCTTGATGTGCTGCGGTGATATGCGAATTCCTTTTTGCATAATTTGCAAACAACCGTGCTCTTATTGACGCTTCCATCCGTCCGTTTTTTAAAACAAAATGTCCCATCCACGGGGCCAACCAAAGCGGTCTCATCAGCTTCTTCGTTCATGTTTGACAATTGTTCACTGTGGTTTGTTGTTGTCTGAAGTCATGAATGTTAGTTGGTGCTCCAGTATAATCGGTACCCCTGAAACTCATCCAGTGAGAAACGTTCCGCGGTGCAAAAATAAGTGCGATTAAAATGCGTTAATTTTTTTAACGCGTTCATTTTTGTGTAATTAATTAATCTTAATTAACGCGTTAAAGTCCCGGCCCTAATATATATATATACAGACCTGATTTCTCAAGTGAAGTATTCTTATAGTAATGACCATTATCTTTACATTTCCCAGCAGTAGATGCAACTTATCCAACGCATTAATATTAAAGGACAGACACGACTCCAGCTGAATCTAAAATCTTTATTTATAAAAAGGAATTTACATGAGAAACTGCAGCAACTTCACAGAAAACTTTGTAAGACAATAACGGACAATATTATTTTTTATAATAACATAAATGTGATAAGATGCAATTATGTTTAGTGACAAAATACAATTCTTGTTACGTGAGCTATTTTCAGTTTTGCTATTTCCTGTGATACATTCAGGGTAGTAAATGTTTTATGCGCGTCTGCTTAGATGCTTTGTTGTTTATAATGACAGCTTTAGAATTTGTTTCTTTTATCATTTGTATTCCTGATAGTCACTCTTGCTGTTATTTATTTGCGCTAATGACTGGTTTCATCCTCTGCTCAATTCTTAAAAGGCACCATGATGTAACACGATTGTCAAAAACTCCTGTAAAAGCCAATGTGCCCAGGGGAAAAAACCAACAATAAAACCATTTATAATGTTTATCTGACATTAAAGCATGTATTGTAAGTCATTATTCAGTGTTTATAACAAGGTAACTGGTCTCCCAGCTGTTTTCTACAGTAGCGGCCATTATCAGCCTCCCTCAACCTCCCTTCTCTGGTATACCTTCTGCTGTACATCCATTGTGTTTATTTATTCATCCCATACAACCGCTCATCCTGTTCTCTTGTTCCCTTAATAATCTTCATGTAATGGCCTTCCTATTCCCCCTCTCCCCCTTAATCTCATCTTCATCTCACACCCAGACCTTTCCCTTCCCACTGCCATCAGCTCCATCACGGCCTCCACAACAGCCAGTGCCCAGGCCGCGGTGCTGGGTGGCCGGCAGGTTCTTGTACACCGCCCGGCTGTACGGGATAAAGCACAGGCCCAGCTGGAGGTGTCGGGCCAGGCGGCAGTATGCAGCCAGCGCAAGTACCAGCAGAGGGGTGACCAAGAGGAAGCCCACCACCAGCAGAGCCACGCAGCCGCCGTCAGTCAGCAGGTCTGAGCAGTAAGGGCTCTTCCCATGGGGGCGGACCTGGGGAGAAGAGAAGACAGACAGCAGACTGAATGATATGTTGCCAGGATGTTGAAAAAGTAAGTTTGTCGATGTATCAGTGTGCAACTTGTTATGACACTTTAAATGTCACCTATCATGCTATTTGTAGGCAATAGCATAGGTCTCAGATATATAAAAATATATAAAAAACATGTCTATGAAGTGTTTTGCTCAAAATACGAAACGGATCAGCCATTCTAGCCATGCCTCATATCCCTCTATTTCACTTCCTGTTTCAAAAGTGCTGATAGTATAGAAAAATTGATAAAAAAGAGGGGCGGAGCTTCTGCCTGCTCATGCGGGAGATTCTACCGGGAGATTCTACCGGGAGATTCTACCGGGAGATACTGCGGTGATGAAACGCCATATCATGGATTATCAAGGATTATCTCTGAAACAGTATGGAGCTCAAAGGCTTTCTCTCTTGCCGGTAATACCACAAGGTGAGTTCCTTTGTATTTCCTGCTTCTTCACACACATGCTCTGTGCAGTACAGGTTAGCTCTGAGTGTTAGGGATGCTAATGTAAACACTGACCATATTACGTCCAAAACAGTCGGGCATTATTTCTGATAGCAACGTTTCTGATAGTGCTGTGGGTCCGCCGCCACTATTACGTCATATCGGACGCAAATCTGGATCAGCTCCGTTGTACCCCCGTTTTAGAGATTTGGGTACGGAGGAAAAGAGAGAGGGTTTTATTTTCTGACGCTGCGTGAGTTCCCTGACACACCTGGGACACATATTTATGTATAAAGGACATTAAAAAGTGCATTTTGCATGATAGGTCCCCTGTAAAACATCCGACTGCATTCAGAGAACAATTTCACCTTGTTGATTATCGTAAGACAAACTTAATTCAAATTCAAACAATTATCAAAACTGTCGGTGGGTCTTTCCACCAACGATCACTAAAAAAAAATTGTGGAAATGGTAAACAATGGTCACCACTGGTTATCACTTTTTTGTAGCTAACCGTGCTTTCACGACAATGAATGTGAATCAGTGACGTACAAATTCACTACTGAAGATCAATGAAACGGCAGCCTGATTTTTTTTAGGAACTGAGCAGCTCCAATGGAGCAATAGGGGTTAAAGGCTTCCCCAATCAAACTGTGTTATGCTGTTCTGGGCACTGAACTGGCTTCTTTCCAGTCTTAAGCCTATTTCTCATGATCTGAAAGTTTTATAATCCTGTTTTTAATAATGCTTAGACTGAAGTCAAAGGTCAGGGGCAGCTGTAGAGCAGCTGGGCCTGCAACTGATAGGGACTATAAGTCGATGAAACACTAAAGCAAGATGCTGACAGTTTATGGGTATTAGTGTTTTAAATTCAAATGTGCTATGTCAAACATGTTTTAAATTGGATACAGTTGTGGCAATACTTTACATGAAGAATATCAGGGATTGGAATAGTTTTGTGAAGTGCAGTTAAGAACGGATTAGGACGACCGATGACGTGTTCTGTGTGGTATGTGTGTGCGCATTATGGACAGACACCAGTTGGTAGTCTGAGATCTCTCAAGTGCACTGAATCAGTAGGCAACTTAATTTATTTTTGACCAAAATATAACAAATCTTACTTTCAGGGAGTAAATATTGTGGGCTGGCATTGTGTTTCAAAGCATGTCTTCTTGTTTCTAACACTGGTGAAGTGGGAAAGGAGGTCAAAGGGTCAGGAGACAAGTGTGGGAGAGGAATGGAGAGACAGCAGGCCTGTATCATCCTTATCGCCCCATGAATGATGAATTGAACATTCGTGTGCATGAGGAAAGTGCTGAGGTTAAAAAGGTTTGCAAATCTGAGGATTTATGATAGGAAAAAGCATGCTGACAAGTTCAAGTGAGCCTAAAAGTTTAACCTTTGTTTTTCTAGTTTTAGCATTAGTTTAGTAATTATATAATAGTTTACTGGAATCTCACACAGTAGCGAAAAGCCTGGATCTTGCTAGTTGTTGAGAGATGATGCCGAGTTACACATCCCAGCCTGAGAAGGAGAGTGAAACATTCAGCAGGGAGGGAGCTATGGGAGAAATAAGAGACGGAGAGAAATGGTTTTTAAAAGTTAAAGGAGGGTAAGCTTTGACGGTTGTAACAGATAAGACTTATCTGTTACAACCGTATGCCCATGTTTTTACTTTGACGTCTCCTGGGTGGCTCCAGATGTAAGGCAAGTTTTATCCAGAAAACCCTTAAAGTGTGCTTATTTAGTTCAATATTGTGTTGTGTATGTTTCTGGATGACTATTGCAAACGGAATCCTCTCAAATATCTTGAAAAGTTGTCTGAAAGAACCCTAAATGCTTATCCCACCTGGCTTTTTCTACATTTCTTCTCACCCCTTTTTTCTTTTGAAATGTTCCCCCTCTCTCTATCCTCCTAGGTTCTGGATAATCCCTCACTAAGCTGCTGTCACATGAGGCCTAATTGTGAGAGAATGGGAGAACAGAATCCTGGTCTCTGTCGTTGGCCAACAGAAAGGCCATCGGTATGCATTAAAAGTCTCTGAACCGTGATGACATTGAGGGAAGCCCAGGTGAATGCTTACTTAATAATGTAATTTTTTTTTAAGTAACATCTCTTGTTTTATATGTTCAGCCTGTAACATTTTGTCCATTTCCAAGCATCTTTTAACCTCCAACTAGCTAACAAACAGTCTTTAAAGTTTGAGGTTTTGATGTCTGGCTCCCTAAACTCTTGACCCCTCACTCTTTCAGTTCTTCTAACTCCTAAACATCTGAAAGAACCTCAGAATGATCTGATTATGAAACCTTCTCGTAACCGATGAAGCCAAACTCCACCCTAAGCCCCAGGCACAACTATTCCAAACTTTTGCATCAAAGATATGAGATTAGCTCTTTCAGATGTTTCATGAAAAGAGGGATGAAGCCATCTCTCTGATCCTCGCAACTATGTTTAGATTTAGCAAATCTATGTGTAAACATTTATCTTCACTGACATGCAAACACATGTTTTTATCTTACACCAAAGAGCATTGCATTGGTCAACATTTATTTTGGATGTTGTGGTACATTACTTTCACTGACAAAAAAATTGATGATTTGCAATATTTTGAAAGAACATATTAAACTTAACGTCAACAGGTTAATTATATTTAGCCATCTACAGTGTGACTGTTTGCTCGACAATTGTAAACCAGGGATTTGCAGAAAAAGAGCATCAACACTTATATGAACATCTCAATCCTTTAACATCCACTCCACCCTATTCCCCATTTCCCTCTTTCTTACTGTAGAGTGACAGAGGAAGCCAAACACCACCATGACAATGGCCGGAGTCAAAATGGTCCCGAACACCAGGCCAGCGAGGCAGGCGTTGATGGTGGCAATAATCAGGTTCTGAGCCGTCACCAGCACCGAGCAGGCCCAGCAGTCCAGGGACCCCCGCAGCTCCAGAGGCGCTTCACTGCCCCCACCACCGATCTCAGCTGCAGAATAAGGAGGAGGTACGACTACACGTAAAGGTGTTTCTCTGCCTCCACCCACAGCGGTGGTGGAGGCCAGGGAGTTAGAGTGGTGAAGATGTTGGTGGTGGCTGTTGTGGTGATGGTGGTGATGATGAGGTGGCAGTTCCTCGGACAGGTCCAAGGCCTGGTGATGGGCCCCCTTTTCTAGAGTACCACTCATACTCATACTGAACTGTAGGCACGGAAAATAAACCAATTATGTGATGGAAATATAACTTTTATCAGAATAAGCATGTGCAGATGTTTTCTAACTGTTGGTCAGTCCTGATTAGCCTGTTTAGAGACAAACACAATGGAAGAGACCTAGTCATGAAATACTTGTGTAACCAATGAAATTCCAGTCCTCAAAGGTTCTCTGGGTTCAGAGAGAGGTTAGATGTTTGATCCGCCAGGAAGTAAGCCTTGTTGATGCCGTCTTTGAGGTGATGATAATCAGAGTGCTGATTGTCCAAAAGGAAAAGGGCCTTACTTGCTATATGTAGTTTGTGAGGAAGAGAGATGAAGGCTAATTGGCATCAAAGTCTGTTTGTGTACAAACGTATGCTTGTTTTCTTCCCTGTGGGTATTAGAGTCAGACGCTCAGATGCAACCAATGTTGCCATTTAATTGGAACCATATAATGTTACTATAAGTACAAACATTTCTTTTTTAAGGGAAACAAACCTATGAGTACGACTATATATTGTCAGATTATTTTCTGTAGTATATTGGTATCGGCCAATGTAATTAATCTTGCCATAGGGTTAAGAAAAGAATGGGATGATGTAATTATGGCACAACACTTGTCTTTTTGTTCATAATTCAACATTTTCTCATGGCCTCAATAAAAAGAAGCCAGGTCCTCCATTCAGGGTCTGCTTTGCTTCAAGCTGCTTTAGTTTGTATCCATTCAGTTTCATGACAGATTTGATGTGGTATGCAGCTGTGTCTGGTACAGGATATCCTTACTTCTCAAAGGTCATGAGCAGACAGGGTACAACTTGAGTAACCAGGCCATCTGCCAAAAAAACTACAGTGATGGAAAAATCCCAGTAGGGATGACAAAGTCAAATAGTTGGATTAATCATTTTAGCAAACACAGTGCTTTCCCATAGGGAATCTTTACTGTTTGTTCATTTAAGGGGTATTTTACTGTTAAGGAGTTCATCAATTATATTACTAAATTGCCATGGTGGTAAATCTCTCATAATGTAATTACCATAGCACAAGACATAGTATTGTGACAAGTAAAGCACTATGCTGGAATACTTTCTTATAAGCGTCCCACTAGGACGATCTGATCTGAAACTCCATTGCTGAAGTGAAAGGACCAACAGAGACATGTGGCGGGTCATTTCATATTCATCGTTGAAAAAGATTGTCCACTGTCTGAAATTGTTCAATAGTTCAGCTAGGATATTGAACATAACTTGCCTATGTTGGGATATGTATTGGATAACCATGCACTTAACGATAACACCTCAGGTTGTGCTTCGATTCCGCCCTAACTGACAATCAGGGGAAGACCATATTTACAAATCTGTCCTGGGTGCTTGAGTTATTTTTCTTTTTCCACGTCTGTTTCCCGTTGTTGTCCTTGTGTTTTTATCAAGGTGGAAGTTCATGTAGGAAAGACAGGCAGGAAAGTGTGTATGCGCACATGCACGTGTCTGAGGTGACTCATTGTTTATTTTTACAACAAATATATTTAGTCTCTCCACCCACTTTACTCACTCTTTAGTTTGAATAGCATTTCTTAGGATATTTCGTCATGTAATTGTTTGAACTATATTAAGAAATTCTTAACAAGGAAATGTTGTCCAATAAAGTGATTGTAATGGTAGCATGTAGTCTCCAAATACCTCCTCTTGTTTGAATCAAAAGTCTGCTTCCCATCATGCAATGCCTATGCTCGGCTAGGACTTGCAATGACATTATTCTTGGATGCTGCAGGGCGATTTTCCATTGTTCTATCATTCTATTATTCTATTGTCTGGAACAAAGCAGCTGCAATAATGAATTCTGTGCCTCTCAGACATGTTTTGTCATGTTTATCAGTAGTACATAAGACATTTAGGCTCCTTCTTCCTGTAATGTGTTGTGTGAAGAGTTCTCACTGAACGTGTCTTGAGTCATGCAGCTGCACTTGTACTCACATTGTGATGTGGGGCCCGGTAGACCTCTTGCTGTTCGTCCTCCAGATTGTTGCTGATTTTCTCACTTCTTTTGAAGTCCTCTTCTGTCTGCTCAGTGCTTTAACGGAGCCTCTGAACTTGTTCTCTGGGAACTTGGTTACTTTCCACCTCCTTTCCTTGCATGAAGTTGAAAGAGCTTGTAGTGATTTTGGAGTTTCCCTCCTTATCTATTTAGTGGTGGTATGCTGTCTTCCTGCAGCTCTGGTCTCCTGCTGCTTCTTCTCTTCTTTATCCAGAATTGTCAGTGTAGCTGATTAGGTCTAGAGGGATGTTTTCTTTTACACATTCAACATCAAATTCCTAAGCTGTTGGGATGAAGTCGTAGCACAGAAAGGCTCCTCCATCAGTGGCAACAACTTCACTACCAGTTGCTGTGTTCTTTGTCTTAAGTATGTCAAACTTCTTTCTGTTTGCCCTCCCCTTTGTACCAGCCCATCTGATTGAGTCCCCAGTGCTGTCTCTCATTCCCTCCCTCCTCTTGGACTCCCTGCATCCATCCTACTTTCTCTCCAACAGGCTTATCAGACCCCTGCCTTTCTCCGACAACTCCTCTCGGCACATACATTCCACCTCACATATCCAGGACATATTACACCCCCCTTTAGCCTGTGTCTGTTGCAGTGGGGGCTGGGTGTTGCGTGTCGGGGGTCAGAGTAGGCTGATAAGTTGAGGTTCAGAAGAGCAGAAAATGAGGGGGAAGGGCAGGAGAGACAGACGAGGTACCACTGTGCTCCTGAACACATTCAGCAAATCATTTTGTTATATTTAGTTGTAAATGAGTCCAAAGTGAAAACTTGACTTCCATGAGTTATGTTTATATCTTTACTCATTGACAGGGATGCAAAGTTGTCACCTTTCGGCGAAATTCGCCCTTTTGAATCCAAAATAGGTCGTTAGTGTGATTCATGTAGATCTGCAATACATTGAGTAATCTGCGGCCGCAAGCTGTTATGTGCCATCATGACGCGCATGGTGTTATTTATTTATATATTATAATGAAGCTCGAGTCTTCCTATCTATCGGCTCTGCTGCTCCACGATGAGGATCTAACTTCAGCAGCTACATTACCTACGGGTGCGTTCGCAGCTAGTTTGAATGACTTGGTATACTGCAGGGTAGCTTGTGAATTTACTCCAGGTGGAACTAAAGTCTGATTCAACACTTGACACATTCACATCTGCCTCTGAACTGTGGTGGAGTAGAAGAACAAAGTAGCAAAACATTGAAATACATGTACAAGTAAAGTACAAGTATCTCAACATTTTACCCATGTACAGTACTTGAGTTTATGAACTTAGTTACTTTACACCAGTGGCTATAAAGATAGAAAGACTAAGCCTTGCACAGAGGCATGAAAATACATTTTCAAAATGCTCAACAGTGCTGCCAAAATTATAAAGTGACTGCTACACAATTAAAATAAATGCTTTTTATATATTTCTATTAGATGTGACTCTATGGCGTTTCTGTTATTATTAACACTGCTGCTTTAGTTGTTCTGACTGCTCAAATCCTCTGTTATTCCTCATTTTAAAGCCGATATTCCGGGGGGTCGGGGGGCTCGGATCCTTGTCACCTTTTTCATACCTGATGAGTTTGCATCCCTGCATTGAGTAAAGATAAAGATTTGGGCATCTGTTTTTCTCTTGGCCACTTTTGACTATTTGGTGATGTGAGTATTTGCATGATATCCAGGTATTTTGAGAATGTTAAAAAACTTCAATATGTTGCCTAAGCCTTCATCTTACTTTGACATTGCTCCTTATGCATTTGTCCCCACCCAGGATTCAAAGTGAGAGTTGCCTTTAAGTTGAAGCAACAGTCTTGTTGTTTCCCAGCAAATATAAAATTGTACTAAATTAACAAATACTAAGGTGCATAAAAAAGTACATATAAGACCTACAGTTGCATATTTCAAATAATTCAATTAATTATTTTGGTGGAAGTCGTTATTATATGTTTGCACCTGAGATGAAGGTGTTAGGCCTAAGGACATTTTAAGAAAAGGAAATGGCGTTTCAAATCTGTGTCCTCCTCTTAACGGACATTGTCTCTGAGCGCTAGGGCTGCTGGATATCAGGAAAACTTGCAATATGTGATAACACTGCTGAATATTGTGATGACGATATCACTTGCAATATTTAAACACATATTAAAAAACATTGTTAATATATTTCTGCTTTGGATTCACTGCAAGCATAACCCTAGAATAGACTATGCAGAAACTTAAAACAAATTAAAACATTAATTCCAGTCCAACATCGTAGTTAATTTTTTTGTTATATTGTTTATGTTTTATAAAAAAACTTCTGAATTCTCCCCTTTACAAATGTTCTGGCCTTCTGAAATATATACATGGCCTTCTGATGTCCTCTAATATCTGAACTTGCAGAGCGTGAATGCATGGCATAGGGAGTAGGCTACCATTTATCGCAGTTCCAGCAGTCTTCGCTATGGCTCAGTTGATATCGCGATAAAGATAGATGTGTGATTAATTGTGCAGCCCTGCTGAGCGCTACGTCACCTTTCTGCTTTGAAAACATCCTGAAGTTAGGACTTGTCAAAACTTTAAAATGACCAAATCCATGCGTTTTCAGTAGAAACTCTTGGTTGTTCAGGTACATTAGTTAATTTTAGGCTATATCAAATAAAGATTTAGTTTTGATCCTGCTGAAATTGACTGAAGAGACTTTGTATGGGCAGCTATGGCTCAGATGGGATAGAAGGCCGTCCACTACTTGAAGTGATGGAAAGTGTCCATACTGATTGGTGTGTTTGGTACTTTTTGAGGATGGTATGCTCATTCATCATAGCAGTCGCCAAGGCTTGGTTTTTACTGCCATTACAGGATATCAAAAATGAGATGTTGTGAGGCAAAGCAAGAGACGTCAGTCTGCACTTTGTACGATGTATGAGGAAATAAACATTTACTATCAGGAAATGCATTCAGATAAAAGCTCTGATTCTCTTGAATACAGAATTTCGAAAGGAGAATGAAGTAAGAAGTACAAAGATATCAAGAAATGCAGTAATCAGTTAAATGATAAAAGATCAGAGCATGAGCTAAATAATGAGTGTTGTCTGATCCGGATTCTTTGTATGGCCTCTCCCCTCTGCTTTGAGCTTGCAATGTTTGTTTACTTCCAGTATTTTGGTCCCAATGCTCTACGTTTCTTTCTTCTTGCTGTGTGCTTGTGTAGAAACTATAAACGGATGTATGCATCTTCATGCCCCTACGAATAATTATAGGTCTAACAATTTAGTATTTTGATATCAACATGCTGGTTTAATGTAAAAGGTAAGGAACCCATTGACATCAGTATATGGACTTGTCCTTCGTTGGATGTTTTTTGAATGTATTATTTCCCTGTTGGCATAGCAGTCTTGGTGTTGCTTCACTGCTATCAGGAGATGCATGAAGTCCCCTTTGGGGAATTTGTCATTACAGATTAGATAGTCACTTCATAATCTTTGTCATCATGCTCAGCAAGAGCAAACTTCAAAGTATTGTTCAACATGATTACATGTTACATAAGACCGTTTTTTTGTGGAGGGAAACTTGACTGCAGCACTGTGCAGCAGATACAGAGGTGGTCTTCCGGCGTGGATTGAACAGGATTTCCTTGAGTGTGTCCAGTCCTTCTGGCCCGGAGCTGTGCCTGAGGATACAGTGACCTTCCAATGACCTGTAACTCGGCCTGGGTATCATTTCTCATTTTATTGTTTAAATAGTGTAATTCAAACCTTTTTAATTGTAATCATTTTGATATTCTATATTTGTTTCTTTTAACTGCACCAAAGAAAAGTCTATTACCTCGTTTAAAATATATATATATGTTTGACATAACACTGTTTTCTTTCTGATATTTTCAAGATGAAATACTATGTTGTGCCAGCCCAAGTCAGGGGATAAGACTGCCTGCTCTTCCGCCATAACTGTGATCAGAAGGCTGAAATGCACAAGGGCGCTGCAGTCATGGTGAGTCCAACTTTGTAGCCTATAAGTTACAAAAAGGCTATATTATCCTTTCTGTGTGACTTTGACAGCACGTCCTTTAGCTGCAGACTAGATCCTCAGTGCCTTGTGTTTTGCTCTCTAATGCCATCTTCCTATCAGCCTTTCTGGAGGACATCATGTGGTAAATCAGCTATTTTTAACATACACTCTGTGAATAAGAAATAATTATACAATTCACTCGAGTATATATTTTGATTCCTTTCCTATTCTTTAGTTTGTCTTTGTTTCTGCTGATGCCAAAGGAGGAACACTGACTAACTTATTCATGAGATGTGAATAATATGTTATGACTGTTTTGGCATCAGCCATTTTCTATGGTGTGGCCTGCTGGGGCAGCAGCATCTCGGCTGCTGAACAGACTGGTAAGGAAGGCCAGCTCTGTCCTGGGGAGTCTTCTGGACACTGGAGGTGGTGGGAGACAGGAAACCAAGCTGTCCCACCCCCTCCAGGACACCCTGTCCTCACTTTGCAGCACCTTCAGCGACAGGCTGCTGCACGCCCGCTGTCTCACGGAGAGGTACCGCAGGTTCTTCCTTCCTTCTGCAGCGGTCAGACTTTACAACCAGCACAGCCCTGTAAGAACTGTTACAGGATGTGTATTTTGAAAATGATGGCACATTTCCCCTCCGTGGGACCAATAAAGGTATTCTGATAACAAAACACGGCCCCAATCATTTCTGGATTTATCAAAAAGCATTTTTTATTAATTGTCATTTTAATGTCACACAAATTCACAAGTGTTTAAGACATGTCTGGCTCAGTTTGGTGTGTGTGTGTGTGTGAATTCTCTAAACAGTGCAGTTATAAATAAATGACCACAAAGAGAAGAAAAGGTAAGGTAATATTGCAACAGTAAAAATAGAATTCTCATTTTAAGAAGATAAACAGAAAAAGAGTTGTTCAAATTGAACATTTAGCACCATCTATCCCGTTATCATATTCAACATATAATATCATAAAATCTTGTCTAAAAGCCCCCTACATAATGAAAACAAAATTACCATTTCTAAAAACAATTTGGAAAAAACTGTTTTCCTCAATGAGCATACAAACACAGCATTCCATTAGTCATGTTCTCTACGTGAGCAGTGTGCCTATCGTCTACAGGAAAGGTGGTGTTATTTTCAGGATAAAGATATTATATAATATATACCAGGAGTCAATAGAGGCAAGCACCAGACAAACAGCAACCTCCACTCCTGTGGACACACAACCCCCACGTTTCAATTCTTACAGAGCAATCGGTCACTATCAAAAAATAAGAAGAAACAAAAATCGCAACCTTGTACAACCCTATTAAAAAGGGAGAACATTAATATCCAATAAATAGAGAAAACATTTTAAATTAAATGTACAATGCCAAAAAAGTAATTGAATCCAAAGTCTGTAAATTGGACCAAAACAATCAGAAGTAAAACACACAACACCAGATGGTAATGAGTTTTGTCTTCCTTCAAAGAGTATCCTTACAGAAATAAAAAAAAGACCTGACAAGTGATTGAGGAAATACAAACACAAGATTTACATTAGATACAAGAATCTGAAAGACAAAATGAAATCCCCCCCAAAACAACGAAAGTCGTTAAAACCCGTATGTTTTGAAGCATTCCAAACATTTGTATTTTTTTAAATTCTTAATGCTTTAGAAAAATGTTCATATCTTTATCTTTATTATTAGTATTTGTCATTTTCTCTCTTTTCTAAATACAAGGCCAATGTGGTATATATCTAGGCTGATCTAGTTTTAGAAAACAACAAAACAATAAATTATTTAAAAAAAGACAGCACCCCACAAAAATTGCAAACAGCATGTACAAATGTCAGTATTCAATACAACAGAAATGCACCAACTACCCTCCGCAGTTTGTTCACCGGCAGCACCACCTGCCCCCTGGGTTCCTATGTGACCAAGGCGTCTGGCTCAAAGCACCATCTGAGAGTAAACTGGTATTTATTGGCGGCTTGGTATTTTCTTTTTGTAAACAGTAATGATGAGTAAACGTATTCAACTGGCTGTTCGGCAAGTAGTAGCAAAAATGAAAGGGTAAGTTGAAAACCAAAGTGAACCTGTGTCTTTTTTCCTGGCTTGCAGGAGTTTTGGTTATGGCTGAGGAGACGCAGGAGATGATCTCTGTCACCGGGAGGAGGCCTGGGGAGAAACACACACACAACACATTTATAAGCTTCATTGTTTTCAAGTCAGAAATGAATAAATGGCAACTATCAAATCCTGAACAGAAGACAGAAGGAAAACAGAATAGCACCTACCAGGTTAAAGGAGTCGTATGTGGTCATGAGCTCCTCCATGCGGTACTGCTCCAGCACCACCACATTGTTCAGGTTTGGGCTACGCTGACGTGCGCACTCCTCACAGTGAACCACATATGTCTTTCGGCTGTTGCTCTCACTTGTCACAAACAACAAATCGAATACCTCCAACTGTAACAGAAAATAGATCATTGTTTTGTTCAGTTAGAGAGGTATTCTAACCTTATGGTCATTGTGTGATACTGATGGTTTTTCATATGAAGCACATCTTCATCAACATTGGCTGGAGTTCATAGCTCCATAGCCTATATGATGACAAAGAGTAAGGTCATGTGTATTGTAGTGCATGTCTGGAATAGAACGGGCTACTCACGTCACATTCGTTGCAGTAGTAGGCGGGCTCGTCCTTGACCCGACTCTGATAGGAAATCTTCTTTCCTAAGACCACCAGCTGGTCACGCAGGATCTGGATGTGCTTCATGGACTGCAGTAGGCAGTGTCTGGTAGGAAGGTAAGATACCAACATTAATATAAAGTTTGCACTATTTTTCATTCACGTTCTATGTATGTAATGTGACATCTGCTTTATTTGACATAAATACACACTGTTTCCACACATCCATGTTAATATATCTAATACGATGGGTATCGTTAAGGTTTTCACGGTACTACTACTTTGATGGATACCGCTTATCGATCCGGTCTTTTAACGGTACTCAAAAAGGTAAATTAATTAAACAAATTGTAAATAATGTGATCTTATAGAACTATAAATAACAAACAAAAAACAAGTATTTACTGCATAAATACAGCGGTACAGAGCAACACAGGTGGGGCATACAGGTATGCTGCAAAAGGCCTAACGGTTCTTCTGGAGGAAGATGAAGATATACATCTGGACGTGGACAGGGCTACAGACCTACTAGAAAGACAGTGGAAAACGGTGCACCTCTCCGTCTGAATCAATGTGGTGCACTTTTGCAAGATGTTTAAACAAATTGCTTGTGTTACCGCCATTACATGCTAAACACTTTTGTCAACAAGCATTGTCCACATCGTAACATTTAACCACAACTTGGAGCGCTTAGTTCTCTCCGCCGAGTGCGTGTAAACTGCCCCGCCCCCTCACACACAGACGGGGGAGAGAGATCTCTCGCCTGGATTGGAAAGATCGAAAATACGTTATGGACGCATTTTGTAGTCTTTTTGCATGTTAGAAACGGAGTTGGCGAAACTAAAACTGCAATATAATGTTTATGTAGCAATAATACATATGACATTTAGATGTCTCCAGTACCGATAAAAAGACAGATAACGTCGGAGCTTAACGGTACCACGGTCCTTAATCATTTAGCCCGGGGCTCGGTACCCATCCCTAAATATGTATATATGACCCAATATGTATATATGTTCATTTTCATTTGAATTCATTTCTTACTTCATAGTTTATATGACCCAATATGTGTATATGCTCTTTTAAAATTTTTTTTCTCATTCCATGGTTTTTTATCTTTGATTTGATTAATCTGTGCTGTTAGAACTACTGAATTTCCCCACGCGGATTAATAAAGGTCATCTTGTCATATTGATTGTGGACTTGTGCCGTTGAATTTTAACCTAGGGATGTATTATTATCCACCTCCTCTTTTGCTGGGATGTGACCGCAGTGTAAACTCACTTGACCAACTTGAAGGTGTCAGGGTCGGTTATCTTGACAGTGCGGGCCGCGTTCCAGGACACATGAATCATGGGGACGATGGATTTGACTTTCTTTACTTCGTTCCACTCAAACCGCTCGAGGGCCAGCTGGTACTGGTAAGCTGCAGATACATGACATGTTGAACACATTTCAGTCTTACAAAAATGTTCTTACTACTGTTGTGTTTGCTAAGTGCAAGTTGCACTCCTTACCATTGAGGGGTCCGACGTTCCAGGCGATGTTGTTGCACCAGCCCACGGCCTGAACCCAGTGAACAGTTCCAGCGTTTATCCACACCAAGTCCCCCGGCCGCTGGATGAAGCGGTAAACAGGGATGTTGGCTTTGTAGAGGTCCTCCAGCACCGGCCACCAGGACCCTGTCAGGTAGTCCACGCCATGCCTGGAGGGAAAGTTGTGTTAGGACTGTGATGTATGTGTTTAGCAACTGTTATAACGAGCAGTATTTATACAAAGTGAACTATGTGAGCCGGATGTGCATCTACTCACTTTGCACAGAAGTCATTGATGGCCTGCCAATAGTTCTCATGGACAGAGAACCACTCGCAGTCTCCAGGGCCGATGTTGATGTTCACCGAGCAAAAGTTATTGTTCTCCTGGTGACCTGTTGATTAAGCACACGATATCTTCTGTCATACATAATGGTATTTTTCATTTTGTAAATCTTAAATCAGTAACGACATTGTGATTTATACATTTTTTAACTCAGAAAAAAGTATTCTATCCCATTATAAAGGGTTACCTGGCGTCCGGCTCCCTGGGACCTTCATGTAGAGCTGGACTGTGTTCATCCCGAGTATGGTGTGTCCAACATGACTCAGCATATTTCCGCTGGATGCTACACGCATAAATGCTGGCAGTTTCTGCAACTCCTGAAGCTGGGGCTTCCACCTGAACAGAGACAGCAGCTTAGAACTGGTCCAACTAGAGGGCAATTTCATTTGTGCTAAAGTACTTAAAGAGCAACTTGCAGGTTAGAGACCCCAGTGACTAAGTGTGTCGGAAAATGATATATATACTAGATTTTCAAAAAGATATACATAAATACAGTGACATCTGGCTTGGTTTTTGTAAGGCATTTTTACTTCAGCATAAAAAAAGACCACCCGCGTGTGACGTCACATGAGGGAGAGCGGTCGGTGTAACGTATTAATAAACATGGTCACAATGCTAGTTTTGACATAGAAGAGGTTGAAAATGTATATTCGTATGCATATGACGGACCACAACCTTATAATTATGAGCCTGCTAGGCGTCCAAGAGACCAGGAGCAGCCAAGGATTAGAAGAAATAACGGCCATCGGAGAAAAATGGAGCTGTGTTGTGAGGAGAGGAGAACTGGGCAGCTGTCTTGGTGAGTGACCGGCGTTAGCTACAGAATGTTAGCTAACGTCACATCACAACATTGTAAAGTTAGCTATCATATATCAGACTATAACTAAAGTAGCATTGATAATATAGTAACGTTACTGGCAGGACTGTTGATACTGATCCATAACAGAAACTAATGCACAAGTATCAGCCGTATCTCGCGTTACCTAATGCGTCTTACGGTGCTGTGTACCGGAGGGGAGAGAGAGAGCAGCAAAGGGGGGAGAGAGATGTAATACGGTTTCCTGAT